CCGTGGCGGCTCCGGCATCTTCGGCGTTCCAGCAGCCCAAGGCCGGCCGCGTGAAGGCCAAGCCGGCCCAGCGCACCGTGCGAGAGAGTAGCTCGGGGGGGGGCTCGGGCTGGAGTTCCGCGGGAGCGTCTCGCCGCTCCCCGGAGCCATCTTCATCGGCGGGCGATGGCCGGGCACGGCAGCAGGCCAAGCGCCACACAAGCGGGACTCGTGGCACTGGAGGCGGATCGGGCTCAGGCTCAGACCGGAGTCTCATCCGGAAGCACGGCGCTTGGAAGGGTCCTTCCTCCAGGCAAGTAGTCCCGTCCCTTATGGATGCGACGTTGAGTGATCGTTTCCTTTTACATTATTATTTCTCAGACCTTGCCCCCCCCCCTCGACTTCATTTGTTGGTACGGTTTCGGCCCTCCCTGTTTCCTCGGACTCAGGGCGTTTGCGTCGTGTTGCGTTTTCGGACTTTCCCCCGCCTTTGGCTTACCCCTTTTCTTCGGAACCCTTTGCACCTTCTGTCCGTTCTGCCGCATTCAATGCTGTAGACTCCGGACATGTACGTAGCGTTGAGTTTTCGAACTCAGCCCCGGTTTCGGCCGCCCCTGTTTCTCTGGATACCTCTGCACTCGTAGCCCTTATACCGCTCGCCATGCCGTAGATCCACGACTGATGCAGAACCATGGGTTTTCGAATCTCAACCCCCTTCGGCGGTTGTACCACCAGTGCCGGGTGTTTCGCGTAGTATGTTGTCCTCAGACCATGCTTCCATAGCTGCTTCGGTAGCCGTCGCCGCACCCCCTGCTGTTTCCGATGATCGTGCTTTGCCACTTTCTTCTAACACGGCACACACTCGTCAAGCATCGATCGATGCGACTGATGCAGCTGCTCGTAATGCTCATGTAGCTACAGTACAACGAACTTGAAAAAAGTTGAAAATGTTGCTACCATGCCCTTCTCCGCTACTCTGTTGCCGGGAGACGGCTACCAGCAGCTTATTCGCACAACAAGAACGGCTTTGTCCGATATTTTGCTGTTGTGACGAGCAGAGTGAAGGTTTGACAGGTACTGATTTTGTGCGTGGATGGGAACGTCCTCTCGAAAAAAAACTCTTGAGTGCGATCACCCCTGACAAGCCCTCTACCGCCGATCTCGTCCTTGCCATTACGAATTACTTTCAGCTAGTGAACCCTAGTGTATCCATGGTTGTCGAAATAGTGCGAACTCGGTCGACAAGCAATTGCCGACTTTGTCTCCGCTTTTGTACCCGGGTGCGTTGGCCACTGCGGAGTCAAATGCAGTTATGTGGGAGGCGTTCGCGCCTTGGCGACTAATAAAACCCCGGCTATCGGTGGTTCATCTTATTTCTCGATGACTTCGAAGCGTGGCTCTCCGCAGCCTCGGCGGTCTAACCACCGCGCCCCTGCGTCTTCGGGCCAGTGGGCATCCGGCTCCGCACAGAACCCTGTAGTTTTGCCCGTGCAACCTCAAGTCGCGGATCCTTTCACGCACAAAAATACCTCGTGGCCTGCTTCGTAAGCCGACTGGTCTGATGTATACGCCCTCACCGCTAACTTTCGTAACACCAATGACTCCTTTGTTGACACAAGAGGCTCGATCGCAAGCCTTCCGCGAAAACAGAAACCGCTGTCTGAACTGCTCGGGTGATGACGATCCCATGAAGCAATGTGCTTTTCTCCCTTCACGAATTCTAGTGGGTTGTTGAATTCCGAGTTGGGTCACCTCAATGACGACTCTGCTGCCCTTAGGCGTTGGCAAGGTCGCATGCGATCCTTCAGGCGTAAGGGTTCAGATGGCCGCAATAACAATCAGGGTAAACGCCACCGGAAGTCTTCTTCTCCTCCTCTAAGCGTAAAAAACACGCTGGGCCTCGCCGTTCCGACGGTGGTAGGTTCCCTCACAATCACCACCAACAATCACACCACGGTGGTCAAACCGCGGGACATTCCGCGGGTAACCATAATCATACACAACAGACGTCTGGCAACACCCACCACACTGGTTCTCTGTCCGTCTGTCAACGCCAATCGCATGCTCAAACTGGTCCCTCGTCTGGCGTCATGGTTTCGACCAATCAAAACGCACGCCAACCTGGTAACTTCCACAATGGCGGTCGTTCACGTACCGGATGAGTCCCCGACGGTGGTTTGCCTCCTTCCCTCGGACCGCCTCCAGCATCTTTGGGAACTTCGTCTCGTTCAACACAAGACGCGCGTGTATCACCCTCAGTTGCCTCTAGAACTTCGGTCTTACGCGACGATAACTCTACTTCGGTGCTGCGTATCCCTTCGCGCTCTGTTGCCTCTAGCACTTCGGTCCTACGCAATCACAACAATACTCCGGTGAATGTTCTCCCTACGCGCTCTCGCACTTCGGTGCTATCCAATGACAGCGGTACTCAGGTACACGCTGTTTCTTCAAGTGTCGATCAGGTCGGTCTTCAGCCAAATGCTTACATCCCACCTTCGCCATCGCACTTATCGTCTGCAACCTCTGCACCCTCGCCTCGTCGGATTGCTTCTTCGTCGAAACCTAATCAGTCTGACGTGAGTGCTGTCTTGAGGTGTGGGAACAGACTCGTCAGATCTTCGGGGCCATTGAGTTCTCCTCGTTCGTCGAGCACCTCTCGTTCGCTCCCCCCGTGGTCTGCAGATAGGATCGGCAGTAGCCATGACCTTTGGACGATTGATGAAAAATTGACCGAAATGATTGCCTCAGGTGCTTCTTCGGATACGCCCCATTCGCCTATGCTCGCTTCCGTTGAGGGTCCGCCTTCGACTGTTGCACCGATAGCTAACTTGACTGGTTCCGACCGGCGAGTTTTAGGGTCACATTCGTCTGGCTTCGAATCGCTTTGTCCCCCTTGTTCCGACCACCGGACATCCTCAGATTCCGCCACGCGACAAATCGACCGTGGGTCGTCTTTACAAGCCCCACCCTCTCCGACGCACGCTCGCACAACGGTACCCACTTCTTGGCTGCTGCGACCAACGTCGACAGTGTTGACACGACCGTTTCGGGAGGACGCACCCGAAGTGACCTCCGAACAGCCGGCGGTCTCGCGTACCTTGCCACGGGGGAATAGCCAGTACCGCCATGCTCGGTTCAGTTCTTCAACTCACCCGGCTTTGGCAGCCGTTCCCAGCGAAAGCCGCCTGTTGCCGAGCACCTTACGAAACGTTTCTTCAGGTTTAGAATTGGGGTGCACCCAGCCCAGCGTTGCTGGCGCAATTGATGCGAACAATCCGACACAGGTCGATTCTTCGTCGGTTTCCGCTTTTACAAGGACCACCCCCATGGACATCCATACTGTCCATCATAACTCCGCATCTTCGGCTGCGACTCCAGCCTCGACAGACAGCACTCAGGGCGCTCGGGCCTCTGTTGCTCCGGCCGTTTTCGACCCGTCCACCGAGTATTGTACTCCAGACATGGTTTTCTTTTGGAAGCCGCCCTCGCCCTTTTCCCAGTGGACACCGTCGACCTTCACGGTCGATGGCTTTGTTTACTCGTGTGCCGAACAATATTTCGCTGCAGAAAAAGCCTGTCTTTTCGGAGATCGCTGTGCTTTGCAGAACGTCATGCGAGTGTCAGACCCTGACTTACACAAAAAGTTTGGCCGTGAGGTCCGTGGTTTCGACCAATCTCGTTGGGAACAAGAACGCGAAAACATTGTGCTCACTGACTCTTATGCAAAATTTAGTCAAAATCCCGAGTTGCGAAATCATCTTCTCGGATCTGGTGACAAAATCCTTGCCGAAGCCAGTCCCTACGACCGTGTNCTTTTCCCAGTGGACACCGTCGACCTTCACGGTCGATGGCTTTGTTTACTCGTGTGCCGAACAATATTTCGCTGCAGAAAAAGCCTGTCTTTTCGGAGATCGCTGTGCTTTGCAGAACGTCATGCGAGTGTCAGACCCTGACTTACACAAAAAGTTTGGCCGTGAGGTCCGTGGTTTCGACCAATCTCGTTGGGAACAAGAACGCGAAAACATTGTGCTCACTGACTCTTATGCAAAATTTAGTCAAAATCCCGAGTTGCGAAATCATCTTCTCGGATCTGGTGACAAAATCCTTGCCGAAGCCAGTCCCTACGACCGTGTTTGGGGCATTGGCCTCCAGGCCGATCATCCTGACGCTCGATACACGTCTAGATGGTGCGGCCTCAATCTGTTAGGCACCGCACTACAGAACATTCACAGTCTTTTACGACACCGTGCCCCGCCTCCCGAGCGCAGCTCTTGTTTGCTGCCCCCGACCGACCACGTTCCGACGTCGTCCCTTCATTCTGCGGTTTATGAAGTTTTCCCTTCCACACACCAGCGCCTTCGGACGGCTTCGTGCTCTCCATCGACCGACCGGTTCGCGCCATTTGCGCAATACGCCCCGAATGTTCCGTCGGATCACGACACCGCCGTTTGGGCCGTGTCTTCAGAATATATCCCATCGTCCTCCTCCTCGCTCCCAGAGTAAGGTCCGGATTTGGTTGGTGGTGTTGTCACCATCGATGACGACTCTTTCACCACCAGAATCCTCCTCCACAGCGGTTCGGCCTCTGTGCAGTTTGGGTGTGCCGCTCTTTTGGATACGGGTTCTCCGCAGCCTTTTATTAGTGCTTCTGCATGGGAATCCATGAAAGCGACTTCGGCTGCTTCGACGTTGTCTGAGAAACACACCAAACCTCGCTGTTGGAGTGGTTTTGGGAAATCTGCGCCGCCTCAAACTTCGACTATTGTCCGTTAGAGTGTTCAGTTTCTCCGTAAGAACCTTCCTACTTCCTTCCTCTCTTGCTGTTTGGGCATACGTTGTTCCTGACGGCGTCATGCCTCATGACGTGCTCCTCGGCAGAGATAGTTGGATGCGGTATAGTGACCGTTCTCACCGCACTTTGCGTGCGAAACGTCCTGGTGACCGTGTCTTTGGTGAGCTTACATTAGCCCAACATGACACTTGTGGTGCCACTGCGTTTGCTCACGATCTGTCCGCAACGGATGGAAGTTACCAACTTCGCTATGCAGGCAAACACTCCGTGCAACTTCACCAAGAGCATAGCCTCATTCAGGTCAATTTGGTACGCAGTGATGGCTCGCCTGCCCTTATGGGTAACCATTTAGTAGACATGCTTCACCAATGTGCTATGTTTTCTTCCGAGGAACATTTTATGCAAAATGGTTGCCAACGAATCCCTCTTGCGGTCATCTCGTCTCTCGAACCCGGCGACGTTCTGGGTACAGCTTCGGCTCCCCTTCTTCGCGTGCCTCTTAGCGCTGTCTCTCGCCACAGTTTGAGCGATGGTATTCAAACGGCGGCTTCAGAATCCACCGCTGCTTCAGACAGCTGGGTCCCTGGTCCTGTNATGGGTAACCATTTAGTAGACATGCTTCACCAATGTGCTATGTTTTCTTCCGAGGAACATTTTATGCAAAATGGTTGCCAACGAATCCCTCTTGCGGTCATCTCGTCTCTCGAACCCGGCGACGTTCTGGGTACAGCTTCGGCTCCCCTTCTTCGCGTGCCTCTTAGCGCTGTCTCTCGCCACAGTTTGAGCGATGGTATTCAAACGGCGGCTTCAGAATCCACCGCTGCTTCAGACAGCTGGGTCCCTGGTCCTGTTTCTACAGGTGGCGTAGATTTGGCTGCCACGCACTCCGCCTCTGACCCCTTTGAATATAATTTGCACGAGCGACCCGTCCCGTCGCCAAGCGACCGAGGGGACTTTGGTTCCGCCACTTCTTCCTCTTGGTCGCCTTCGCGTGCTCTTCTCTAAGGGTTGACTCCAGAACAGCGTCAAAGTTTCTCCCAAGTCTGGGATAAGCTCCCCTGCCATCTCCGTGAGGTTACTATTGATCTCCACGGCCCGGGTTGGACTCCCGATGTCATTCCTCAGCTTGGTAAGGTTTTGTGCGAATACCGTGATGTGTTTTCTAGTTCTCCGACCGACTTTGGATCTTGTTCGCGTTTCCTTTTAAGCTTGCAGTTCCTCCTGGCAGCGCACCCGTCACGTCGCGCCCCTACCGCGTTAATCCCCCGGTGGCGAAACAAGTTAAAGCGATCCTTGACCAATATCTTGCGGCAGGTTTGATCCAACATGCGACCTGGCCTTACTCGAGCCCTTTGGTAGTCATACCGAAGAAATCTGGTGGTGTTCGCATCACCGTCAATTATTGCAAGCTCAACAAGCTTTGTGCTTTGAGTCAGCTTCCGATTCCTCGAGTCGATGATACTTTGGACAAGTTGTTGAAAGGGCAATTTCATTCCCTTTTCGACATGAAATCTTCGTTCCACCAAATCACGGTGCACCGCGATACAATCCCTTTGACGGCATTCGTGACGTCTTCCGGGCTTTTCGAGTGGTTGGAGATGCCTCAAGGCAGGTCGGCTGCCCCTGGGTGGTTTTGCAAAGTTGTCAACGAAGTCATCGAAAATCTCCGCGGTGTTGCATCGTACTTGGATGATTTGATCGTCTTTGATGACACCCCTGCTACTCATGTTGGTACCATGCGCGCCCTCTTTGAACGCTTGCGTACGCACAACTTGAAACTCACGCCTCCGAAAGCTACTGTTGGCGCTACTGAAGCAGACTTCCTCGGACACACCATCTCCCCTGACGGCGTTAGGCCAAACGGTGCCAAGGTTTCGGCCCTCACCAAAATGCCTATGCCCAAGGATTGCCTTCTCGGTGGTCTCAGCTACTACCGAAAGTTCCTCCCCAACATGGCTAAACGCATTCGACCTCTGACTACTGTACTCAACAAGCAGGAGAAGTTTATCGTCACCCCTTCCATGGAGCAAGCCGATCGCGTTTTATTAGCCGAGTTGTCCAATCCTCCTGTTTTGGCTTGTCCAGATTGGGATACCGTTTCAGACGGCTCGCAACCTTTTCATCTTTTCTGTGATGCTAGTAGCGATGGGTTTGGTGGGACTCTCGAACAAGAACAGCCAGATGGTTCCATTCGCCCAATTGCCTTCATCAGTCGGGCTACTTTGGACTCAGAACGTCACTGGACTCCCCTCGATCTCGAGGCGGGTAGCATCGTCTGGCGTATCAAGCACCTTCGCGGTTACTTGTAGAAGTACAAAATTTCGCATTTGTACCGACCACAAATCTCTCGAGCATTTTGCTAAGGTGGGGGGGGGGTGTACTCATAGTCGTGCATGCCGTAGTCGTTAGAAAACACAACGTGGTGCGATCATCCCCCTTGCGCGGAGTGAGGGTTCTCCACCCCGCACAACATGATCTTCTCGTCCACCATTATGGTTACCGCCAAAAAAAAAAAAAAACGGAGGAAAGAAAAGAAAACGCCGGCAACCTGGTTGCCGAGCTCACAAAGTGAATTGGCTTGTTTTACAACGTC